GAGAGAGAGAGAGAGAGAGAGAGAGAGAGAGAGAGAGAGAGAGAGTCGTGATTGGGAGAGGGTCCGAACTCGTAGCTTTAACTCGGAAAGGCATTGACAGATACTGGTTGAACAGGGAATAAATTCGCAGTTTTCGGTGTTTTTTAACCAGAAAAGGCATTGACAGATACTAGTTGAACAACGAATCAATTCGCAGATATCGGTTTTATTTAACCGGAAAAGGCATTGACAGATACTAGTTGAACAACGAATAAATTCGCAGATATCGGTTTTCGACAGAGTTCATTAAGGAAGTGTCAAACCGTCATTGGCTTTCTGTGCAGATCCGTTTGGTGACTGAGCATCTTCAACAAGTGTCAAACAGTCGTTGGCTATCTGTGGCCATGGCCACGCACTCTAAGGGAACCTTGATGCTGGGTGTGGATTTGCTTGCCGCAGGTTAGCAGTCGGTGGGCAGTTTTGGATGCTGAAGTCCGCCACCGGGACAAGGTTTGACGGTATGTGGTGGGACTTCCTGTTGGATTTGTATCTCTTTCGAGCAGAGTTTCGCACTCAAGAAATAGAATTGAGCTCCAGATCCCACAGGTTATCAGTTGTTGGACAGTCTTTGATGCTCAATCACAACTGGGGCTAGGGTTGTGGGTCTGTGGTGGTCCTTCCTGTTGGACCAGGATCTGTTTCAAACGAAGTCTCGCACTCCACAATCATAATTGAACTACAGGCCCCGCAGATTATCAATTGTTGGACAGTCTTTGATGCTTAATTGCAATCGGGGCTAGGTTTGCGGTCGTTTCTGCGGAATGGGATATAAGCAAAGTGCGAGACTCAGTGAACTATTCCGACTGCGAATAAACACTCGGTACATGGCCCAATAGGGCATTATGTGACACTTTAAGTGAGGACAAATGATCAGTATATGAGGTGTTGACATGGCAAATGTAGCGGTGGGGCGTTTTGAGCCCTTCGTACATGAATAGTTGTTATCAAATGCGAATTAACACAGTGTAAAAAAGGGCAGGGGCTCTTTGTATGACACCTTCACAATGTTCTCCTGGCTAGGTGTTGCCAACGACTGCGACACATGTACGCGATTCAAAAGGGCATCCTGTATGGTTTGTGGTGTCTATTTTCCATAAGAGGTCAGGGTTCGGCGCCCGACACCTTGCAAGTTGATGGACTGAACCCATCAACTGTGGTCGGGCGGAACACCCAGCCTGGTGCACGACATTTGGCAAGCTGAACCCGCAACCCGCCAGTACCCCTGCAACAAATGTGTCCACCATTTATCTTCCCGGAAGGACCCCCTTCTCTGGTTGACAGATAATAGTTGAACACCGAATGATTCGGGAGTTAGTGGTGTTCAACAGAGCACCTGAAGGAAGTGGCAAACAGTCGTTCGCTCTCGATGTCGATTGCCAATAGCACTGTTAGGGGGCCTCGATGCTGGTTTCTGATCTGTTCGGCGATTGAGCAGCTTGAAGAAGTGTGAAACAGTCATTGGCTGTCTGTGTGGATTGCCATTACCACTCTTAGGGAATCTTGATGCGAGATCTGATTCCGGGTCGTGAGAGAGAGAGAGAGAGAGAGAGAGAGAGAGAGAGAGAGAGAGAGAGAGAGAG